TCTTACACTTTATCTACTGAGCATTTAAGGTTATAGATCCTTCAACCTTATAATCATATATGCTTTTAAATTCATCCCCGAGGAATTTGTTCTTGATGAGTTAGAGTTTCATTCTTTTAAGGAAAGACCAAACCACGCTTCAAGATCCATCTTTTTAGCTTTATGAAATAAACTATTTCAAGTTATATAGATGAAAGAAATATAAAACGATAGAATTTGACGCGTGAAATGAAATTTTGTAAATTGTTGATATCCGATGCATAAATGAGTCAATGTGAATCTTTGAAGGACTGATTAGAGAATTTTTTTGCACTGTCACTCTTCTTAGTCCGCTTCAGATGAAGGATCTTATAGTCATTGTCATGCAAAGGCCTCTTCAAAGGTACAATGAGAACTGATTCAAGATACTTCTTTTTATGATTTTTTTCAAAATCATAACAAAGGATTATTCAGGATGAATAGAAATACTCATCTTAAATAGAAATTCCCCGTCCATGAACGTGTTGATTTATTATACCTCAAACTAGAGATCTTTGAGGCTGTAAAATCCAAGCAACTGTAGTATTTCTTCCACTATATTCTGAAAATGAATAAGGATCATCTACAGTTTTCCCTGACTTTCGTGAAGTACCCTGTCATTCTTCGCAAAGAAGAATCCAACATACCGCTATCATATTATATTATGTAAGTGAATGTCCATTATCTTGAATAATGTATGGTCATGTGTATCACTAACAAACCTGTCAATCTTGATTATGATCCCCGACATTAGCTTAGCCCCACCGTTTTTGAAGAAGCAACTGAACCCAACAATGATCGTCAATGCCTCACGAAAGACCTGCAAAATACTAACTTCAACATCTTTAAAAATGTCCATCAACTTGACCACTTATGAAACTGACATACCACTGCAAAATTGCCTCGTAAATCAAAACATAACTAGGAGAAGGCGAACAAGCTTGGTCAGTCGGAGTCGGCAATCTCACCACTATGTCATTTAAAAAGTGATTTTTTTTCCAAAATAATATTAGGGCATCTTCTGTAAGTGTCGATATCACTTCCTTGAGATTTTGGTACTTTATCTAATTTTAGAGTGGTTGGGATTCCCCGAAAAATGATATCTTAAAGAGCAAAAATGTCCACAAAAAAGAAAAAAACAACAATAGGTTCCGACGTTACGCAACAACAACACTGAAGAAAATACACAACAAAAGGCTATACAAAGGCAACAACAACGCAGAAGAAATGACACAACATTATGCAAAAAAGGACTCCAAGATTAACAATAACACAAAAGGAGAAGGCACAACAATAGGTCAAAAAGGAGGAACAACAACAAATCATATGACACTTCAGCTTGAGAAGAGTAAGTGTGCATTCTCCCCTCCATATTGAACTGATTTAAAGGCTAAAAAATGGGTAAAAGGACTCCAAATATGCAAAATTTTAAAAACTTTAAAAATTTTCAGGTTTGCATCCCAATAAAAGTGCACATCCACTGTCGTGTTGTTGCATGTCATCGCGCAAATAGTTTCATGAACTATTTGAAGCCCTGAGGCCTAACTCTACACACTTGTGAATCGTTATCAGCCCGATCTGACCAGCTTCAGCCCGTGTAACTGTCGTCCCCCGACATCTTCGGGCCGACTCATCCCACATAATTGTTTGCGCTCATTCCATTCAGCATCCTGAGGCGACCCCTGTCAACCTGTGCGTGAACATGAGACCTGCCACCTCACTTGCCTGCGCTAACCCCTTGCGTGTTCCCTACTAACAACTGCCCACTGATACCATCTGTTGCAAACCAAACACCAAAATTTGGAATTTTCTTGATTTGTTATTTTTATTACATTAATTACTTTTGGATGATAATAATTAAATCGCCTAAAAATAAGGAAACAATTGATGCGTCGTTATAATATTTCATCATTTCACACAAATGTAGAGGCATTTTTTAGCAAAAGAATTTCAATTCAAATTAAAACTCATTACAGCTTGGATTTGAGCAAATTTATAGTCAAATTGACCGCTTCAACAAGACAAATCTAATGATACCAAAACTGGTCCAATCTGAGTCCAATCAAGCCTAGGCTTTGGACAGTTGATTGGAGGTATAAATGAACTCTAAATTTGACGTATTCATAATCAAATTAAGTGCCTCGACTAGGGAATCCAACAAGTCCAATATCACTTGATTTTGATGTCATAATACCATAAAATCATTAAAAAAATCCCAATGATCAAAGGGAATTAATGTGAGGCATCAGTGGTTATGAAAATTATTTGTCAAATGATCAAAACGCCCCTTCTATAGCCTATAAATAGACCCTTCTCTTTACTTGAGGGGAAAAGTGTGTGTCAAATTTCAGTGTTGTTTTAGACTAAAGACCCGATGACAACTTCTGCCCCTCTTATTTGTTGATTATCGTCGACCACTGTTTGCCAACCACCATGGACCACCACTTGTTGGATGCTATCGATCGATGAACTCTGGTGTGTAACGACAAATCCCTAAATACGAGAAAACAAAGCATCCTCAACATAACGTTACAAACTATCATCCATATAGAGTAGTGACTACTTTTATATGGAATATTCGATGATAACTTCCAGCGATGACATCAACAAGAGCCATTCAAATATTCCATTGTGTTACTTGATTTGAGGTTGAAATGTTATTGAAATATTCCCCCGTATTAATGATTTGGAGATGTGTTGTTTTAATAACATCGTGAAAATTGAAATAACACGGAAAATATATCGAATAACACAACCCAAATCAAATAACGGTTATTGAAAGATTCCCCCGCATTAATGATTTGGAGTTGTATTGTTTTAATAACATAGTGAAAATTGAAATAACACGAAAAATATATCGAATAACACAACCCAAATCAAATAACAAAATAAAATATTTCAATAAACAAAATAGTTGAATAACAATATTTTTCCCTTATCCACCCGGTATCACTCTCCCTCTCTCTCTCTCTCTCTCTTGAAGCGAAAATGGCGTCTATTCCTCCTACAATCACCACGCACATCTCATTCACTTCTTCGTGTTCTCGTTCTTCTCAGATATTACGGTCGCCCTTCTTAGCTTTTACAAAGACACTCGGGTGGCGGAGTGCTTCTCGGTCACTGAAGAGGGCTGATTCAGCCGGCGGAGGCGGCGGAGCTCGGTGCTGGTTCAAGTTTGGGAACCGCGGCGTCGACGCCGAGGGCGCTGGAATCTATGGAAGCCAATCTCGGGATGATTTCGACCGGGATGATGTGGAGCAGGTATTTCCAGTAAAAGTGCTAAGTTCCTACTTTCTTCTTAGTCTTCTTGGGATCTTTTTGTTTTTCTGTTACCGTTAAAATTTATCTCAATTTAACGTACTCAAATAATAATTTCTAATGCAATATTAGAATAGAGGCAGAATAGAAACTGACAAGAATTCACAATATGTAACAAACTCATAAATTTAGCAAAAATTCCTGACTTTTTTTAATGCAAGGACAATAAACATGTTTTATTCATTTTGAAAGATTACTTTGTAATTGTTTAAAATTGCAAACATAAAGTTTCAACAACAAATTAAATTCATGCTATAAATAAAACTGCCTCATATCTCACAAGGCAATGCTTCAATCACACATGTAAAACTTGTGAATAAACTACTTAAAAGATACGAATAATCATGCAAATCACTTTAAAGGGAAGAATTGAGGCTCATGCCTACATCTAAGAAAATATAAGAAGAGAGTAAAATTGTAATTTCGTTAATTTCGTTTTAAGATTGAATTTCCTAGAGATTTACATGCCTTGGGGAGCCTATTTATCATAGTGGGAGAGAAAAATAACATGGAGATGAATAATTCTTGATATTTTTTCACATGTAAGAGTATAGATATATAATTGCATGATTTGAAACTTATAGGAGTATGTATTAATGCCTATATTAACACTTATTTTATTTTTTCCCTAAAAATTATGATTTGCATTCTATTGGAAGGTATATTAACACCTATTATAATTGTCATCCAACTATAGAATGAGGAATAAGATGAAATGTTGAATTATAAATGATTGTGTTATGTGTTTCTTCCGATATGCTTCCTCAAGTTGATGTCATTGGATAGGATACAAATCTCAACTCGAGTTGTTTGAGATGTTGTTGATAAAGAGGTATGATGAGAGCATCAAAATGTCATTCAACAAATAAAATATGAGATACGTGAAGACTGCCATCTTGAAACTTTTTTTCTAGATAAACTTAAACTCATGAGTTATGTGTTTTATTCTAGATTGAAAAAATTGGGTTCACACACAGGTAATTGGCATGAGTACTATCGCAATAAATCTTAGATGGCTAAACGTTTTGAATGACAAGTTCATGAGGAGAATATTGTAGTCATGTGATTTCAACTAGAGAGATAATCACATGGTATTTGGCCTTTGTTCACGAGGGAGTCATTATGAGTTGTTTCATAGAGGTCTAAGTGGTAGTATTATGATTGGAAAACAAAGCTTATGCAGTTTTAAATGCCAATCAATAATGTTTCCCTCTCAATCCGCACTTGGGAATTCACGAAGTGAGATTTTAAAGCACTAATAAAGAAAGTGACTATTATGAATTGTGGCATGAAGATAGCATGCTATATGTTTAACACTGCTCCAGTGGTCAATTTTTGATTCATGCATAACTTGAGAGTTTGTTAATCGTGCATGTGATTTTTAAATGGTTGAGAGGTATTGAAGCCTAATGGATTGAAACTCTCATTGATTAGCGATTGGGATACTATCAAGCATTATAGGAATATGGTTTGGAGATATGGGTTAGTCAATATATTTGTGTACTCGAAGAGATCATGAATATACTTCTGTTGTGAAAAAAGAATAACTTCTTTGGAGAGAGTAACTTCGACATACAAGAAGTAGGAGAAAGAATACCTTGTTTGGAGGGGGTAACTTTGACAACCAAGAAGTAGGAGATTTACTTAAATCTTTTATAGAGAACATTGAAGTCAATTTTGTGGCATGCGTTTGAAGAAGCGGGTTATTATTGTTGGTGAAGATGAGGTCATCAACATACAAAATACATTATGGTGTGTTAATGAAAGTAAAAGAAAAAGTGAGGTGTCAACTTAGGGGATGGGGAATGCGATGGTGAGAAGAAAGTGAGATGAGTTATTTATATCAAGTAGGAGGCAGTTGCCTCAAGTCATATAAAACCCTTTTCTTAGGTGAAAAGCATAAATAGGATGAGTTCGGTTGGATTGTGAAAACCTAGAGATTGGCTCTTGTTGATGTCTCCCTCAAGATGTCTATGGATGAAGGCATTATTGACATCCAACTGTTTAAGTGGCTACTCTATCCATCCTTTGGATTGAGTTGGGCCGAGGGGCTAAAATTGGTCACTTAAATTATCGGTTTGAAGGTTTAATTTTGGATCTTCGATGAAAATCCTTTTTAACTCACTGTGCTATGTTTAATCCAAATCATTAGGGTTGTATTTGGTGTGAATCTCCCATTTACAAAAGATAAGATTATCCGATAGATAAGATGCGACAAGTTTCCATATAGCATTTTGGATGAGAGTGTTGAACTTAACGGATTTAGTAGCTGTTCAGGTTGTCTCAAGGCTTATTAGGTAATATTAAATTCATGATTGGAGGGAGATTGGAAATAGTTGATTGGGGTGAGTTTGGTGAGTTGCTTTGTTGATATGTTTCTTGGACGAATTTGCATAGGGTGAGCATTGTGAAGAGAGGGAGTTGGAGGTTGGGCATTTGTATTGGTGGTGTTGTGTGGTGAGGTAATGTGAGGAGGAGAAGGGTAGGTTATGGATTGGTTGGGTGAAGTTACCGAGGTTCGGGATAAGTTGTAATAGTTGTTGGGCTGACATTTAGTGGATGATTGAAAGGATTATGGGATCGTGGTGATGGATGAAATTCTTAGGTAGATTTCATATTAAGGGAGGAAAGGAAGGAAATGTGGTAATTTGGTCTCCACGATTTGGCTGGTGGTGCCCAAATTATGAAATAAGTAGCATTGAGTGAATTTTTTATTGGAAATAGAGGCTTTAGGATGGTTTAAAAAACGGGGTTGGATGTGCACAGTGGAAAAGATTGGTGGGATGTGCTTAAGAGATGAATGAGGATGTAATAAAGCAGTGTTATTTGCCAAAGGAGGAGATGGGGTTTTTTTTTTTTTTGTTGGATCATATTAAGATATGGGACCTTATTGGGAATGGGTGTTTTTGGAGGAGGAGCAATGGTTATAGGGAAAATTCTATGGAGGGAATTATAATTAACTTTCAATTGAGAATGATAGGTTAGTTTCTACAAATGACACATGTCCTGACATGGATTTTTTTGAGGTAGTGTCTGAACATTGTTAGGCAATTGAGAGATGGAGTAACCAAGAAACATATAGGAGTAAGAGTGGTGATCTAACTTGTGAGTCCTGTAGAGTCAAAGCCATGGGGAGCAAAAAAACCCAAAAATTTTTAGTTTCCTGTTGTTAAGAGGGATTCCGTTTTTTTTTTCTTTCAAATTGAAATTTCTTATAGAGAATAGTGGTATTCATAAAGTTGATTAGGTATTTGCTGGTTGTGAGGGTATATGGCCTGAATGTTGGTATAGGGGCAGGACAGGAGACTAATGTGGATTTCAATAAAATGATAGCATCGTTCAATTAAACCATTATGTTCTAGAGTGTGTGGAGGTGTGGTAAAATTGGACATACTTGTGGAGGTAAGAATTTGAGGACCATGTATTCATCACCATTATATATGTGGAGAGGCATAACAGATCATTGAATTTTTTTTTCTACTAATGATTTAAATGCGTTGATAGAAGTTAGAATATTAGGGTTTTTTTTTTTTTTTTTTTTTTAGTTGGGGGAAGGTTTATATGGGGAATGTCTAAGACAAGACCTGTAAATGTTATAAGGTGCAATTGGAATGTTAGACATTTTAGAATAAAGAAGTTTCAATGGATGAGAAGTAATTAATGTAACATTAAAATGTAACTTACGAGTTTTATTACAGTGATTTGAATTGCAAATATAACGAGATACATTAGATGAAAGCTTATGTAAGATGCACTCAGAGGCTAAGTGAGATATAATGTCAAAGGTGAAGTGACCAAGATGATAATGTTAATGGTCGGTGGAAGCTTTAGTGATGGAGAAGGCAATCACATGTTTCGAGTGCGGTCACTCATAGATGCTATCTTTACTCGTGCCTTATAAGAGGATAATTTTTTTTAGTGAAAATCCTTGAAAAAGAGGGAATGCAGTGAGGATTTAATGGTGACATTGTAATTTAGACAATATTGAGAAATATGAATACAAAATTTTTTATCGAATAGAGGGTACACACCATTTTTAAGTGAAAAAGAAATAGAGATAGAAAGATAACATGAACCATATTGAGCGGTCGGTAACCTGATACTATTGACAACATAAATGCTTTTTGTGGTTGAATATTCTAAATGGGAAGATTTTGGAGATCTATAATGACATAATGGGAACCACTTGAGTTTAGGATCTTCGTGAAGGTAGGCATGTTGTGTTTATGGTGGAGTTATGGGGCAATAGATGGACTTGAGAAGGTTAGTTTTGATGGGTGATGGGTATGTGAGTAAAATTTGAATATTGATATGTCGAATAGCCTTGTTGATGACATAATTTACATTTATTGAGATTGGGTGATTTGTTTTGTTGATGGAATAATTTGAAGTGCGTGGGATGCGTGGGCATTGAGGTATTGATTTTTTATCTAATGTTTGATTAATTATTTTTGGAAGGTTTTTCAGCTAGATTTTTAGTGGCCGGTATTTAAGGTATGTACACATGTTTTCTTGTATCATATTTAAGGTGAGCTTTAAAATCGGTGAGCTTTTCATGTAGTTCTTCAAATGTGATGGTATTTTTTGGACATAGATAATGGGGCTAAAAGCTTTATGTTGATTGTCAAGGCCTGAAAGGATTTAGAGGGAAATGAACATAGTACCAACCTTGTCATCTTAATGTTCAAGGAAGGCTAATTCACACATAATGTTTTAAAATGTTACATCGAATCAGTGATGGATTTAATGCCTTTGGTGAGAAGGCAGAGATCTTTGACATGATTTATGCATCTTCTAGATGGTGTAATGAAAGTGTTGATCAAGATATTGCATGCTTCTCGTGATTTACAAAAAGAGGCAATTATGGAAACAAGATTCGGGGAGGAAAGCAAACTATAACACTGAGGATTAGTTAGTCCACATGAATCTAGAGAAGGTATTCAAGATTAGGAACTTTTTCATTGGTAGTGAGAGCTTTTGTTGGACATGGATAAGAATTGTCAATGAAATTGAGGAAGTCATACTGCTTTAGTGTCGCATGAAATTGGAAGCAATATGACTGGTAGTTTGAGGGTGTAAAGTTGATTTAGGAGTTGGTTTTGATGGTAAGTGTTGGGTTTTCACAAATCGGTTTGATGATGGTATGGATGTTTCTTTTGGGGATGGTACGGATTTTTGGGTTGGAGGGGTGGAGTATTTGGCTATGGCCTAGGAAGATGGGTTGTTAGTTAAAAGCTTTTAGGAGAAGGGGAGGAGAGATGCTACGTGAGCCACCAATCATGTGAGAAGGAGAGGATTTGGATGCTTGACTGGGGCTTGTTGTTGTTTTGATACCATCTAGAGAGAGATAATTGATATGTAGAGGAATATTTCTTCTCTATCATCTATTCACATGTAAGAGTACAAATATATCATTGCATGATTGAAAAATAATATGAAGGTGTATTAACTCAATATTCTACTCGTCCTCCTAGTATAACTAGAAATAAAGTATGCATAGAATTGTAAGTGTTGGTGTTTTTAACTTTCCTCGAATATTCATATATATCGAAGAAAGTGGCTCTGTAATGCCCGCCTTTGTCCAGATTAGTGAATTAGGCAGCATAATATCTTACTCATTATGTATCTTTTTAAACTTAAAATAATATATAATTTTTACTTGGAAAGGCTAACCTGTTCGTGTGTTTATCTACCTTTTCAATATTTTGTTTAGTTTATTTCATTACTTACCAGTTTTTGTGTTTAGTGGAAGGAAAGCAGAAGTGGTTTAACGAAGAAAATCATTAAGCATGGGAGTTTCTACATATTAGTCTATGCTTTGGTGGTCATCAAGAAACATTAACGGGGTCTTTGGTTTTCACAAAATAGATTGAGAGTAAATGCTGTTATAATTATTTTTTAGGCCTTTAGTTTGATATGACTATTTAATGCAAAACACATCTAATAATTTTAGTTCTTAGATTTATTTTGAGAATTGTAATATAAGTGTTAATTGATTATTCAAATATTTCACCATTCTAAAAGCAAATTCAATAATTTTGAAACACATCCTGACCAAAGTTGTATTGTGGCTCATGCCCGGTTACTTGGTCGTGTAAATACGTTTTGAAGCAATGCGTAATATTTATTACATCATCTCGTTCAACCTTAATTGAATCATTGAACATCAAACTTCTTCTTCCGGTTCTCCGGTTTGGTTTATCTATTTCCTCTTTAAAGTAAGCTGGATGTTTCTCTCATGTTCTGCAGTATTTCAACTACATGGGAATGCTTGCTGTGGAAGGTTCATATGATAAAATGGAGGCTCTTTTGGATCTGAAAATTCACCCTGTTGACATTCTTCTAATGCTGGCGGCCTCTGAAGGGGACAAACCAAAAATAGAGGAACTTCTAAGGGCTGGCGCGAAATTTGATATCAGAGATGTTGATGGCAGAACTGCATTGGATAGAGCTAATGATGAGATCAAACAGTTCATTCTTGGCTTTTCTGTGCAGAAAGCTGCATGACTGAATTTTACATGGATTTAACACCTGGAACTTGTGAGTAATGCTTATTTGTACGTTTTATATGTTTGAAAAAGTTTGTTAAATGTTTTTAGTTTTTACTATGTAGTATATGCTATTTAGATCCTTATGTTTTGGTAATAAGTTTAGTCTGCTTGAGCTACATTATCATTTTTTTTCTTTTTTACTTTCAGGATTTGACTTTGGCTTTGCCAAATTATCCGAGTACCTCTGTATTATGGATTACCAGGATCATATTTTTTTAGCCATGAAGTGTCTCTGTAATGCTCACTTTTATTATCCTAGAGTTATAAATAGTTTTTTTTTTTAATTAATTGGACTTGCTCTGTGAAGAAGTCACTGGATTTTTTTTTTCATTCAAGAACTATAGATTTTGGACCTTTTGCCTCTATATCATTTCATTTTCCTACGTGCAAATTGTACCAATTATCTATGATGTGCTGTGTAGATTATAATTGTGTCTTCCAATCCCCAACCTAATCTACTTCTTGAAAGCAGAAAGTTGTAGTGTTGGATCCCAGATTGTCTTTTATGAATATGCCTCGAGAGTTAAAGTCAAATGAAATAGACAATAAAGTGAATCAAGAGTTATTGTGGAGAGAATGGGGGATAGTCCCCTTATTCGCATTTTTGTCTTCTATTTATGTAGGTGTATTTTGTACAATTACAGAAATGATAAAACAGTTATGAAAATTGTTCTTAATATGATTAATGTTCTAATAAATTGTATTGATTTCATTTCATATCTGTATTACAATTTGAATTTTGATACGATGATAATTGGTTTATCGACTTGCTAGAATGCGCCGACTGACTGCATAGCGAATGTGCCTTGTGTTTGATCGACCGAGGCTTTCGGTCGAACAATGATTTTATCTGTCGTGGTAAAACCAAATCAGCCGTCCAATCACAATCAGAGGTTTTCTATCTGTATTTTGGTCGTTGGATAAATCACGACTCACTTGTCTTTTTGAATCAAGTCTTAAGGGGCCTACGTCTCGTCTACCTAGTCAGTTTGTCGTCTCAAACGGATATCTCTATTTGCAAGGTCTTGGGCGGATCTTGTCTCTGTCTGTGAGGTATCCAATAAGACTTGCTACTAGGATGAATTACGCCTTGACCTTGGCAGATCTTGTCCCTATCAAGCGAGAAACTATCTCCAGAGCTTTGATCAGTCTCGGTTTTAGAGGCGAGACTTCACCTGTTTTACGCCTTGGCCTTGACAGATATTATCGCTAGCAAGCGAGAAACCATCTCCAGAGCTTTGATCAGTCTCGTTTTTAGAGGTGCAGCTTCACATTTTTGGCGGTGACTTGTTGGTTAATTGTTTACCCTTGAGGGAAGCTTTTTATTTTTGTTTGTCCGCTCTCTTTGAGATTTTTGTCGGTAGTTGTAGTGCATACATATTAGTTCCCCGAGTTTTCTTGCTCCTTGGTAGCGGCAACTGCGATAAGAATAGAGAAATTTTTAGTATGTCACAGGAATAAAGAAAATTTAATAATTAATTCTCTCTTTATTATTGTGCTCTACGTATCTTATAAATAAAGTCAGGAACTGGGCTGCTTTTTCGATATTTTCTAAGTTTCTAAATTGGCATCATGTCAGGTGGTACGAGTAAAACAACAACGGATTTGAGCCTATTGGCTTTGGTGGGATTAGCACCTTCCGATACGGCGTCTGTCCACAAGAGGAAAAAGGTAGTGAGAAGAGAGAAGAGGGATACAACCGACCCCGAGTCGGTTGATTAGGTTGCTTCTTCCGGGGATCTTGAAGGGAGGCCGCTAAAGAGGCCTCTTCGGGAAACTGTGGGCCATGTTTCGAGCGAGGAGAGGGTGGCGGCGGACTTGTCAATCTTGCCCGAAAAGGGGAGTACCGACAGTCACAATAGCCCGAGAGCGTAGGTTACAACTATCTCTTTGCAGCCGCCCGTGTAAGAAATGAGGGGAGGCCCTCCAACGGTAGTGGAAGGGGTTTCCCTTACTGTGCCGGAGCTTTATAGGCTCATGGGTATGGGTCCCTCGCTCGATAGCGACAAAATTCTCCGAGGGCAAGACGTAATTTATCCTAGCAGGAAGTCTCATCGGATACCTCACACAAGCAACAATAAGATCCATCCAAGACCTTGCAAATAGGGGTACTCGACTGAGGTGACGAATTTACCAGGTCGACGAGACGTAGGCCCCGTAAGACTTGAGCGAAATCGACAAGTGAGCCGCGGTTCACCCGACAAAACAAATTGACTCATCAGTCGACCAACCAACCAAACGAGCGCAGGCAGAAACCCTTGATCGAGATTGGACGGCCGACCAACTTTTTCCATGACAGACGAGATCGTCATTCGATCGAACTTCTCGGTCGACCAAACACAATGTATGGTCGCTACCAGTAGATTACCTCAGTCTGCCGCATTCCAGCGAATCGATCAACCAATTACCACTGTATCAAAATTCAAATTATAATACATATATGGAATGAAATCTATACAATTTATTAGAACATTAATCTTATTAAGAATAATATCCACAACTGTTCCTTTATTTCTGTAATTATACAAAATACGCCTCTATAAATATGAAACACAAATATGAACAAGGGGACTCTACCCCAGTCCTCTCCACAATAACTCTTGGTTCACTTTATTTTCTCTTTTACTTCACT